GTAGTTCTGCCACTAACTCCAAGCTGTAGAGGGACTACAAATCTCAGCACAATATATAGCAATGCAAATTAATACCACCAGCTATAGAGGACTATAAATCTCAGAAATACATTGTACAGCAATGCAGAATTCCATCAGCTATAGAGAACTACAATTCCAAACAATACATTACACAACAATGCAGAATACGATCAGCTATAGAGGACTACATATCCCAGCAATACATTATACAGTGGTGCAGTGCAGAAAACCACCAATGATAGAGGACTACAAATCCCAGCAATACATTGTACAGCAGTGCAGAATAATACAACCAGCTATAGAGGACTACAAATCCCAGCAATCCATTGTACAGCAATTGAAAATAATATGAATCTACATACTCTGTGTTGCTGCAGGGTGGTGGCCTGATATCCCGAAGGTCTCAGGGGGGCAGTGTGGGGTCTCCTCTGGGGTCCGAAGGGTCTTTTGGGCAGCGAAAGCGATGTAAGCAGCACTGTGTGGTTCCCCAGGTAGGAGATGTGCAAATGATGCTGTAAACATGCGCCACAGTTCACAGGACGTCTACTGAGGTCCCCAGCAAGCACAGGACCTCAGGCAGCGGTCACATATTCCTCCGCCGAAAAACTAGGTGCAATTACGTTAAAATGTCTGACCACGTGACTGGTCACACATTCCAACGTAGTCACAAACCTTGATAGAAAACCAGTATCTGTGTTTAGTATTGGGGCATTTTCACGAGTATGGGTACTCATGAAAATGCCCAGTATCGGCAGAGATACTGGTATCGGTATTAGTGCCTCCCTACTTTTAAGCATTCAAGCCTGGGACACTGCAAATGAGAAAAGGCGTGAGGAGTTTTCATTTTGTAAACTTTAGGATGGTATTAAAGAAAATTAGCCAAAAGGAGGAACTTTATATTCCATGAAAAAAAGCCGCATAGTAAGCCCTGTCCTGCATGTCTGTAGAATAAATAATCATTATGGTCACTGAAGTAGCAGTCACTGTATAACTTTATTAGTTGTTGCTGCAGCTGGGAAACAAACAGTTAAACCCCTGTGCTGTCCATGAGGGTCACTATCTGCTGAACTGGTGGTCTAGAAATCTGATAAGGATTTAGCTGCACAGTGCACACTCCCGACAGTACAAAGATCTTTAATTTATGCCATTGCACCCAGGATCCCTCTTAAGTTTTTATTTATTTTATTATTTTTCACTTAACATATTTTTTCACTTAAATTTATGAATAGCGTTAGGATCAATGTTCCCCAGGAGCTGCCTGACACTCTTCTCTGAATCAGAGTCCTCTATGAAGGTTCAGACAGCTCCTGAGCTTCGGTTCACTTGCTTGTCAGCCGACTCAGCAAGTGAATCGAAGATTCGATTCATGAATCGGTTCTTTTGAATGAACTGATTCAAATGAACCGATTCATTTAAAAGATCCGAACTTCCCATCTCTACCACACACTGCACATGACAGGCTCACAGCTATGGTCACAGTACAGGCTCAGCAACTTTCAAAGTCAGCAGCAGTGGGTCGGGGGCGACAATACAGCTACATCTAGATCTCTACAGACAGCTGCTGGAGCTGCTTGTATACTAGCACCAGTACTGGAGCCACTGCACCGCTGCTTAATTTAGCGGGGGGGGGGGAGCACAACATAGGGGGGAAATTTCCCCCCCTTGCCCCCCTTTAATGACGCCTATGCTGACCGGGGTGTTTATACCCCCTTCCTGTCCAGGCCATTTTTCAGTATTCAGCACTGCGGTACTTTGACTGACGTTTATTCTGTCATGCAACGCTGTAATGAAATTAATTTTATACCATTTTTTGGGGACAGATAGAGCTTTCTTTTGGTGGTATTTAATCACCATTACGGTTTTTTAAAAAAAATACATAATGAAAAAAATACCGAAAATTTTGAAAAAAAGCCTGTTCTCCCTACGTTATGTTATAAAACATTTATTATTACCCAATTTTTTGGTAAAATATAAAAGACGGGGTCACGTCGGGTAAATAGACACCAAACATGTCAAGCTTTAAAATTACGCACACCCGCGAAATCGCAAAAAACTACCATACCCAAAATTGACTGTAGCCGACGCTTTAAAAGCTTTTACCGTTCATCAGTTTAGTGTTATCATTGATTAATGGCCCTAGAATTATTGCTCTCAATCCGACATTCGCGGCGATATGTAACATGTGCGGCGCAATGGATGTAATCATCGTTTTTGCACGTAGGTGGACTCGACGCATGTGTGCATGGGGCGGTGGGGGACTTTAATTTAAACATTTTTTTTTATTGCTTTGATATGTGACTTTTTATTTTCTTTTGTAACTTTTATTTATTTGAACCTTTTTTTTTCCACTTAACTTTATTGCTATCACATAGGGAGCAAATAAGCTGCAAATTGATAGCCAATTTGCAGTGACAGGTCCTCTTTATGGAGACATCAGGGGTCTTTAAGACCCCTAGTGTCACCTAGGGACCACGAGAGAAGCTGATGAAGCATAGACCTGCTTCACCAGCTTCTCTCCGGTTTCTGTACCGGAGAGTGACAGAGGAATGCGGAAGTGATGTAATACGCATCACTTCCTGCATTCCGACGAGGAGATCAAAATTTTTTAAAAAGCCCAAAAATGAATGCCATGAGGTAATCCAAAGGGCAATCACAACATCCAGTGTTGTCCGCGATGACTCGTCGACCTAAAAACAAAAAACTACGCCCGCCGACCCGTCTGCACCCAACGAACTGCCGCCGCAGAATGAAAAATCTGACATATGCCTGCAAACTGTAAACAGATAGGTGGAGCTAGCAGTGACATCATTGCTGTCTCCGTCTATCTGTTGACATTTTGCCGGCATATGTCAAATCGCTATTGCAAGCGCCTCCCAATGCTGAGGGCATGTGGCCTGGCATGGTGCAGGGAGGGTGGGGCCGCTCGCTTGTTCCCCCCTTTCCTGCCCTGCCAAGCCTGTGCTCAGATTAAGGGTCTGGATGGGAATTTTAGGGGGGACTCCACATTTTTTCCCCCAGGAGACCATTCTCCACACTTCGGTTGTATGTTCCGCTCAGCCAAGCCGAACCATATGCGTTCAGCTCGGCTGAGCTGTTCGGCTGCTGTACAGGCTATTGTGAATAGCCTGTACAGCAGCCCTTCGGTTCAGCCGGCGGCTGAAGTGAGCCGAGGGATTAGCCAAAGCTATGGCTCTTTAGTGAATAACCCTCTACATTTTTGTTAATAGTTGAGATACATGAATGCTTTTTTAAGATCTAACTCCTGAGTTTAGTGTCACTTTAAAGTAGCACTCCAACCACATTAAACCAGACCCTGACCAATTTTTAATTGTAGGTCTGTTTATTGTGAAAATCTAATGAAAAGTTCAAAGAGCAGACCAGTAATACAGCGCTTTATGGAGGGGAGGTGGCACGGGAACAAAAGTGGGGGTAGGGGTGGTATTAATTGGTGTGCTGTGTCCTGTTTGTATGGCCCGGGGTGTCCAACAAAGTGTAACAGAAGAACAAAAAACGAGAGAGGAAGCGCCACAACCAGGCAAATGAAAAGGTACAGGCCGATGGGTTGGCCTTGTTTGAGTGTTGGTGTTGCGGATGGGCATGGTGGTAGCGATGAACCAAAAGGAGACTTTTGAAGTTGGGAACCAAAGTGGGGAGTAAAGAACGGTGGAGAGGTGAAAAATTTCGAAAGAATTTGATCACAAGTGTGGTATGCAGAAACTCACCGTGAGGTTAAAGGTCAAGCAGGATCCCCTTCATCAGGCAGAACAAGTGCCTCATGAAGGGGATCCTGCATGACTACGAAACGTCGCAATGTGCATGATTTGCATGTGCGTCAATAAATAGGCGTACTTCTACCTTTGGAGTTCCAGTGTCCATACTTTTTTTGTATCACTGGACGGTAGCCATCCGTCAACTGCCGATGCACCCAACCATTCTTATTATGGATAAGCGGTCAGGAGTGCAATGGGTATATGCATTGTAGTACCCTACTCAACAGGACACCACCTCAAACACTCTACTCTCTCCCACTTAGACGCACAGAGGAGAACCCAATATTGAGTCCAAATTCTGATGCCAACCACTCCCTCTCTGCCACACCTCCTCCTACCACCCCCATTCCTAAATCGTCTCTTTCACAAAAAATTTTAGAACTAGGCCACGTGCCCCCCAAAAAGAAAAAAAAACAAGAGGAAGAAGAAGAGGAGGAACAGATTCACTATGTCACAATGCAAGAAAGACAGAACTCAACAATCCACAGTAAAGATTTTCAATCTTTCAAACCACATCCTGACCCCTCATGAGGAATCCATATTAAAGAAAGGTTTAAATTGTGCACCCGATATTAAGCCCAACTCATTCACCCCGTTTAAAGATTTGAACAAATTAATCCGCAACCTCACTCTCAAAAGACATTACAATAAATCCACCTCCCCAGATATCCCAGTCGAACCAGACAACATCCACACGTCCAAACAAGAGCCCCTAGACGGCTGGTGTGTGGCTGGTGATGGCGTATGTGGCTGGTGATGGCCCCGCGTGTAGCGCTGGCGGATCTTGTGAGGGAGGTGATTGGGGCAGCGTGGCAGATCCTATTTGAGCTTTCCCCTAGCCCTAGTGATATTAACTCTCCCTGCATTGGCACAAAACCTGCTTTAAGAAAAGAGATTGAGATATTTACAATTGTCCATTACTGATTAATCCTAACACTGGATGAGCACTAAGAGTACATTATTCTGGGTGTCTGGTTAGATTAGCTAGTTTGTATTTAACATTTAGCTTCCAGAAAGTGAGACACAATTGTTAGTAGGTTAAATATAGACCTAAATATCTCTGCCAATAGAGACTGTACAAAAATATTTTTTTCATGTTCCATTGTTCCCATCTTATTATTTTGTTTTATTTTTTGTTTTTGTAACTGTAATTAGCCCATTTAGTAGCATAATCAACTTCTATGTCTTTCATTTGCAGGGTTTAATTGTTGGAGTTGTGCTTCCTAATGGAATGAAAAGGAAACTTTACAAATGGGTTTGGACAATGAGAGGAAGATCTTGGAATGTTGCTGATGTCGGACTTATTGAAGGATTATAGATAACATCATAGCACACCAGTAACTCACTTTGGGGAGTTTTGTCTAAAGCTAATTTTGCACTACTGTTTTACATTTGAAAAAACTGACTTAAATTCTTCTACTTATTCTCATGTGGCTTAAGCATTACCAACTGCAAGCATGAAGTGGCTCTGCAAACTTGATGAGTCAGAAAAGTTCTGGGTGAGTATTATTTTTTGTATAACTTGATGCTACAAAGACTTTAAAGGGCAAGTACCCCCCTCCGACCCCCAGGTGCATAATTACAGAATCTTGAAGCCTGGGCCCACCGTACTGGTTACATCCCACGGGTCCAATCTTCTCTTCCACCGGCTTGCGTCTAAAAAAAAACAGTGTATGGGCACCTTAAGTCTGACCATATTTCTAGGACAATGTTATATTTGAGGACAGAATGGTACAGTGAGCAGGCCAAGCTCATCTGTGTGGTGTTCCAAACCTTACATATACTTGCAAGTTGGGATGCTGGGCAGGTTGTTGAGGGCTTTTATGTAAGGTGTCAAAAGTGCTTTAACCCCCTCATGACTGAGCTTGTTTTTCGTTTCTGTTCGTAAATGACTGACACACTTTTTACATTTTTGCTGTGTGATTCTTCCACGTCAGTAATATACTGTACTTACAAAGTGCACCCACAGATATAATATATTGTTTTTTAGAGGACAGATAGGGCTATATATCTATATCACACATGTGTACCTAACGCCTCGTTTAGGACAAATAAAATATAAAAAAAGAGGAAAAAACTTAAAACACTTTTTCCCCAGTTTTGATTTGTAGTATTTTTTACAAAAACAGCACAGCTAAAAAAAATATAATAAATACATTAATTCTTTTGTTCTTTATTTGGAAAAACCTCACATCCCTAGGATTTTAGAAATGTTTCTGTACTACTCGGCCTAAAACCTAACATTTTAATCTTTTTTTCCTCTCTAAAAGCTAAAGCTAAAAGTGCTCACCTGGCATACAATGTCACCGTCACTAAGTGTCACACTTAGTGACAGCGACATACTTTGAACATCGCTGTCATGAGTGGGTTAAAAAAAATATATTAACCCCTTAGGGTGATTATATCAAGCAGTCATTGTGAATTAATTTCACTATTACTGCTTGATAAATTAATCAATTAATTTTTGGTTATTATAAAGGAGCCCATACACTTTACAACCCTTGCAAGACTTTTGTCTTGCGAGGGTTGTAAAGTACTTAAAAAAACGTACGATCTGCCCATCTTGGACAGAGGGGCGGGCTTGCGATGACTGCAATGAGGGGCAGGGCTTCCGATGACTGCAAACGGGCAGTGTGCGCGTGCGCACACCGGTCCGTTCGGCAGTTGTCGAACAAGCAGGCCACTAACTCGCCGAGAATCGTACGATTCCCGGCGGGTTTTCCAACCTGCTTCTTCGACGGAAGACGTGCGACCGTACAGTAGAAACGGTTGCACGCCTTCCATACACTGCACGATTATCATACGATCGCGGGATTTCCCGCTATTCTCGTACGAGAATCGTGCAGTGTATGGGCACCTTTAGGCTGCTTCAAACTTCAGAACAGCCAATAATAACGTTAGTGACACTGATCCTGCAGCAGTTCAGGATCAGCTGTCACTAAAGGTTATCTGATCGTAACAACTAGGGCTGCAACAACTAATCGACATAATCGATTATAATCGATTATTGAAAAAGTTGTCAACTTTTTCAATAATCAATTAATCGGCCTCCGATCAGTTGGCCCTGTTCACGGCTTCCCACATGCTGCACGTCGCACCTCCGCCCCACCTCACACTCGCCGCTGTCAGGCCCACCCGCACGCATCCACGCTCTACATGCCGCACCTCCTCCAGAATCGATTTTGAAAATAATCGTTAACTGCAGCTCTAGTAACAACAACGATCAGAAAACTGAAACATTCTTTCAGGAATAGAAACATTATGTTTCTATTCTTGAAAGTAGAAAAAAAAAAAAAAGCCGGTGTACATCGAGATCTCTCGATTTATAGCAACTGTCGGAATGCCGGCAAGAGCCTCGAATGCAGGTCTGCTTTCACTCTCAGACACCCGATTCCTGAAGAGGATCGGGTGTCTGAAAAATGTTAACTCTTTCATTAATGGATGCCTCTATACCGAGGCATCCATTAATGAATGGTAACCGCTGAGAATCCTTGCCTTGTAGAGCAGCAAATGTACGTGACGAGTCATTTGGCCCTTTGTGGCGGGACGTAGAGTGTACATCTTCCGTCATGAAGGGGTTAAAGTGTGGTTTTTAACTTCTTTGCATAAGATGGCCACTTTGTCAGTTGGGCTAATATCCATCAAATCATGTTGGTGGTATTGTTTCAATGTATTTTGGATATGGTGCCTCATGAATATGTGGCTATAGGGTTAGATTGTTATGTTACTAGTTAGACTGAATTAATTTCACAGGTGAACTAAAACTTTCATGTAAAGTATACTCCATTTCGGTTTTTCTTGATCCCCAAAGGCAATTGGATAGTCCCTAGATCAACATTGTACAATGTTCTTTCTTAAAAATATTAATAGTCATTTATATTTTGTGCATTTAGAAACACACCCAAGCCTTTTTGACACAATTGGAAGGCTATTCCATGTTTTTACAGCACAATAAGCAACCCTTCCAATTCAGTAAAGCATGTACACTTTTCTGGTGGTACAGTCCTTTTAAAACAACCTGTACCTCATTCACGAAAAGCTTTGCAACTGTTCTTGCCACCACTTTAATTAAGACCAACTGTAATCTGATATACAGGGAGACACCAGTGCTCTGAGTGGGGCGTGTATTTGCTGGGAGGCTGTCATAATTGTAATAGTTTACTGTGCATTGTTTTTTGGTTGCTAGGAAACCAAGCTGCTGGGGTCCTAGCAATTAATTACGCATCCATGGTCCTATTCACCTGCTGATTAGGATATACCCCAGCCACGGCCATATTTAGGTAATGATGTTAGCCTACATCCCTGGCCCCTTTGTTTACATTCAGTTGTTGGCAGATGAATGGGGTTCGGGATGAATCACTGGTTTCTAAGATGCTAAGATCCTCTTAGCAACCAATGATGCTGCCAGTAGGTGGAGCCTGACTTGGAAATCTGAGAGACTAGTTCCCCATCTGGTCCGCTTCCCTTTTGATTGGCAACAGGTAGTGAGTAGATTTGATTGCCAGTACCATTGTCATGAGCAATCTGCCCACTATCTGCTGTCAATCACAAGAGATGTGGACCTGATAGGAAACCGGTCTCTCAAAGTTCCCCATAAGGCTCCACCCACCCACAGCAAAAGTCCTCCGCCACTGCACCTGTCTGTGTAAGAGGTGTGGTGCCTGAGCAGAGGGCCCATTAATGCTGAACCAGTGGTTTTATCAAGCTCAGTATTACTGATCTCCACTGAGAATACTCTGGCCTCAGTGTGTCTCCAAAACGGCATATGGCAGTACTTGCCTCAAATTCATGTATCTGTTTTCGTAGACACTCTTTATTAATTTTAGTGATTGTCTTTCTTTCTTGAGTCTCTGCCTTGTTAATCCAAGACATCTTGCTAGGTCTGAAAGCTGCAGATTGGCATTGAATACTGTTATTAAGTCTATTATCTACCAGGACACCCACATCCTTGTTCATTATTAATTCACCCAGTTTTTCTTACCCTAGATTGTATGATGAACCAGTGCCAGGACTAGGTCCCCTGGCATCCAAGGGGAGAATGCCAAAGTGTACCCCTTCTGAGCTGACACAGATGGACCTTGCACATCCAAATGTTCAGTGTGCAGCTAAGTCATGCAGATAACAGAGAAAGAGTGCTAATTTTCAAGAGAGCACAGAGCTATTAATACTGATGACATGACAGTCATACTGATGGCAGAGCTCCACGTATTGTACAAAGTGAGCTCTCCGTATGCAGGGGTGTGGAAATTTTTGAAAAAACTACTTGTCCAAGGGCTAAAGCGGGGGTCAAATCTACTTGTCCTTCATGACAATCTACTTGTCCCAATACAACTAAAAAAAGTTTTAAAAGTTTAAAACTAGGGATGCACCAGTACCAGTTTTTGGGTATCGAGTACCAATATTTTGCTTTCAGTACTCACCCATTGGCATGAAGCAGGCAATCAGGAAGCTAGGCAGCGGGTAATGAGATGCTACCCGGCTTCCTGACTGCCAGGGAAGCCGACTCCATGTTGTTTGGCCGGCTTGATTGTGAATGGCTGGGAGGCCTGCTCCATGCCAACGTAATTACCTGATTGGCCGGGAAGAAGGCTCGATGCTGATTGGCGGCCAATCGGCAAGGAGCTGGCTTCCCGGCCAATCACTTGACCACGCTGACCAATGAGTGCTTGCAATTTGCCAGTAAAATTAAAAATGCATAGGGCAGAAATGCGCTTGACAGTACGGGGTAAGGACTGTTTGCAGAAAGTTTATAGCTGGGGGGGTAGAAGAGATCGGGCCAGATTTGATCGGGTAATTCCATTTTCCCGTATTACCTGGGAAAGTGAACTTACCCTTTAATGCACATTGTGTGTGTGAGAGAGTTCTGCTGCCCAGGTACCACAATATGGCACACAGTGAAATGGCAGCAGGACTCAACGCACACACACAATTTCCTATGCGTGTATTTATTTGTATGCAGATGGCAGGGGCAGCAGAGTTGGTTTTAATTTTTTTTTTTTTTACTTTGTCACTTATTTTTTTAAATTTTTATATATTTTATTATATTTTACTTTTTTATAACTTAAAAAAAAATGTTTGTTCCATTTTATTCCCATCACATGGTGTTAAAATCCTCTATGTGATAGTTTGGAGGTGACAGGTTCTCTTTATGGAACCTGCCCTCCAACACAGAACTGATGTTCTGTGCAGTTCCTGACAGCCGAGACAGGTGGCGCTGTGATCACAGCGCCACGGTCTCAGTGATAGCACAGAGCAGACGAAGAAAGGAAGTTCTTCGTCTGCTCTGCGGGCTCTATGGTGAGCTCCCGTGCCGTGGTGACAGGTCCACCAGAGGATCGGGGGACACCCGAAAACCGCGGCGGGGGGGGGCGCACAGGATTGCCGATTCTCGCTTCATACAAGTGATCTGATTAGATCACTTGTATGAAAACAAGCGGCGGCTCCCACTGTACATTCAGCTCTGCTTGTCCGGAGCAGGGCTGAATGTATTAAAAAACTA